TGTGATAACAAGGTCTGGTGTGTTGGGGTAAGGACATGCGAGGATTTGCCTCAAACCCTAAAATTGTTGAACTCGATATTGAGTTCAGAAGACTGTAGAGTTCCCAAGTGGTTTTATTTTATCATTTAAATACTTCATTGAGGGTTCAGACTACTTATGGAGTAGGAATGCATCAGTACCTTAGCATCCTGTATATTATAAAGTTGAAGTTTATCAAACCTCAGAGTTGCCATGTGGGCATGGTGAGAACAATCGGTTCCCAAAATGGGCAGATTGTCAACAAGATTTTCTAAACTTAGCATAAATATTAATATCTCTTGTTTGTAGAGATTTGAGTTTTGTGACATGAAAGCTGAACATCAATCTCAGCAAATGTCTGTATTCTTCTGATCTGGGAGATTACATGTGCGGAAGGCCAGGGTGCCAGTTCAGGCCAGCACTATTGACCAAGGGATGGACGTAGGTCAACAAGTCATAGACAGGGAGCCTGAAGTGGATGTAAAGCAGTAGGATTGGCATGGGTTCACAGGCCAGAGAGACCAAGTCTTGGGTAAGTAGGCAGAGCACTGAGACCAGGAAGGGAACCTCACTCAAGTGCGAGACTAAAGTCTAAGGACGGGGAAATGCGTTTGGTTGAAACTGTGCTTTTAACATAGAAAACCAGTTCGCGCGCAGGCCAGGACAATAAATAGAAAATGTCCTATCTCTGTTGTCTGCAAGAGCCTTGGTTACATGAAATGAGACCTGAGATCTGGGCACTGTGTGCCATTGGCCTTCCTACATGGCTTGAATTGGGCAGTCACCAGAGGTAGATATTGGTAGCAAAGTGAAAATTATTTGAGGGTCTCCTTTCAATGGCCTTGAGGTCAGGAAGCTCAACTAACAGCATGTCTCTGACTTTGCCACAGATTGGAGACCAGGATGACAGCTGATATCAACATCGTCTTGCAGCTCCTGCAGCGTCAGGCAGTCCCTGTACCTGTTCCCCCAGCTTACAGTGCTGTGTCACCAACATCTCATCCCATTGATATGTACTCTCCACTGTCGGCAGAACCTAAAGTGTTGTCCTCTACTCAACCTGCAACTCCACTTTCAGCAGCTCCTCTGGAGGTAAGTGTCATATTTAGCATTGAATGGGATAAAACTGTCTGCCATTGAAACTCCATTGTCAGTCATATGAACAGGCAGGAGAAACCAGTTATGAAAATTGATCCATTCTTGGGATGTTGGCATTGCTGGCTAGTCCAGCATTTACTGCCCATCACCTAGTTGCCCTTGATAATGTGCTGGTAAGCTCTCTCTTGAACTGCTGATGCTGGAGTCAGAGTTAATACAGTGTGGAACTGGAGGAACACAGCAGGCCAGGCAGCATCAGAGGAGCAGGAAAGTTGGAAAGGATCGAAAAGGTCCTGACCCAAAACGTCAACTTTCCTGTTCCTCTGATGCTGCCTGGCCCGCTGTGTTCCTCCAGCTCCACACTGCGTTATCTCTTGAACTGCTGCAGTTTGTGTGATGTAGGTACACCCAGTGTTGTAAAAAAAAAAGTTCCAGATTTTGAATCTTGTTGAAATTCCTCATGCCCAGGTTTTGTGGATACTGCATTGGTGAATATGCTTTAGTAACAGTCTATTGTTACTGAGGGAATTGAGCATCATGAGAAATGGTGGATAAAGTGACAATCGAACAGAAAATCATCCATGATCACAGTGAATGCTAAAGCAGGAAGCACCGGGGAATGTACGCTCCCATTCCCGCTCCTACTTATGATCTTCCATTTAATTAGTTCATGTGAATTATTTGGACTTGGACCTGGTGTTAGCACAGGAATGGAATGTTGGGGTTGAAGACCAGCCATTATTGTATTGAATGATGGAGCAGGCTCACCAGGCTGTTTGACCCTCTCATACTCTCCTAACTTTCTCGGCTATTAACCCACATCTCCTGCCACTTTGCTCAAATTCTGTCCATCTTTTAAATCATTAAATTGTAAGAATGTGATCAGCATGACAATTCTCATGGAATGCTGTTTCTTTCTCCAGACTCCTTACTACTCCATGGCAGAGAAACCACAGGAGAAATCCCAGGAATCCTTGACTGGTGGAGCCCTGCTGATGATGGCACCAGACCAAAGTCTGACCCTCAACCTTCCACCAGGTCAACAAACCTCCCCTCCTCTGGCAGCAACTTTTCCCTCATCCCCTTGCTTTAGCCCATCTCGCTTTCCTTCTCTCCCAGAGCATTTGGAAAGCTCCAGCACAGATACAGACATTAAGAGACATGTGTCAGACCCAGTCCTGCCAGGCAGTTAAGGCCTCATCGCGACTTGGCAGGAACATTACTTCGCTCCGTCCTGTTTTTGCAGAGAACAGTGCTGCCTCGGGGGACCATCCTGGACTTGGTTTTAAGCCGCAACTGGGAAATCTGGCAGGATTGTTTTGCGCAGCCTGCTGCACAATCTCAAACAATTCTGGTTATGTACGAATTAGACAAGACAAAGCAGAAACAGAGCAAACCCATCAGCTTGTCATCAATTTTATCACTTTAAAGTATTCATCATTATCCACAGGAAATGAAAGCAAAAGCCATTCAGTGAACCATCTCAGGATATACCAAAAACATTGTCCGCACAGGTCTGAGTATAGATGGCAACAGTTTTCAATGGATTAGGCAACAATGGAACAATGAAACAATGAAAAGTGGTACATTGGAGCTTTACTCCATCTAACCCTGCGTGGTACCTGCACTGGACGTGTTTGCTAGACACTGTGTTGAGGGAGCTTTACTTTGTATTTAACCCTGCACTGTACCCTCCCTTGGACTGTTTGACGGGGAGTGTAGTGGAGTTCTCTATAACCCTGGATTGTAAATTGAATTTTCCTCTCCATTTGTGCTGGAAGGGTCATCTTTACCTTAGAGAATACGTAAAACAGGCTGTAGTGATTGGCTAATACACAGAGAGTTATACACAGTATAAACTTTGCCTTTCCATTCATGTCACTTTCTGTCCAGCCAACAGCAAATCTACTAGTCCTTCAACACTGGGGTAATTTTAATCTTTGGGGGCAGATTGGTATATGTATTATTTGACCCCCAGCACAAGCAGGTTCTCCAAATCCTCCCATAACCTTGCATGCTATAAACACCTCAACCCAAAGGAGGGCAATCCTTCTTAGATTTCCCATTTCCTCCAGTAATACAGTGTGTGATGGAGAATATTTATCACTCCCCAGTGCAATATAGAAGACTGTTAAGCAGCCCCCAATGGCATGTGTACCCTGCATGATCCTACCAACTCTCCTCATACTGCCAGTATTCTCACCTGAACCCAATTCCTACAGGTTTCCGCTACTGTCATCTCAACCTCATGAGCTGTTGGGGCTTCCGATTTCCTGGAGGATGAGTGACACGATAAAGGAAAATGGACATAATAGTCTCATCAGCCAAGCAATCAAGGACCCAGAAACAGATTTGCATCAAATATATAATAAATAATAATGATTGCTCAGATAATGCTGTCTTCATTTGTCCAAGAACCATGCAATTGGCTTTAGCAAGTTTGGTCAATGTCAAAGAGCACTGTGTTGTCGGTGGTGTTGTGGCAGAGGGGCGGCCGAGTGTGGGGGTAGCGTGTACAGTAGTACTTAATTGGATGAGTGTTTAAAGGGAGTAGAGAGATAAAGAGAGTGAGGCCAGTGTCTGCTCTGCTAATGCTCAGTATAGGTGAACAGGGTAATGGTTTCCATTTTAATAGTTCCCCAGTTCAGTTGATTCTGGCCAACTGTTGAGCTCAAGCAAGGTAGAAGCCTCCAACTTCTGACTTTATGGGCCTATCTTGGAGATTACCAGATGCAAAGGAATTGCCTGCTGGAAAGTTTCAATTTCTGGGCAATTTCTTTGGGTTCAGCAGTGTCAACATTTACACATGATGTCAATGTGCAACTCCCGTTTACACTACCTCGCCATTGGAATAGCAGGGCTATTATCTGATCATTTACCTCTTTGCTGTTTGGGGAAAATGTCTAGTCTTCCCAGCATTTAGAAGCGACAAGAGCAAACCCTTAGTATCAAATACATCAAGTCATCCTCACATACTATCTCAATATTTGCATTGCTTGAACAGTAAGAATATGGATTATACAAAGTACTTACAAATGTGGCTACAGAAATTGACATGGGCCTCATTCATAACTCTGATTTAGCACAATTTAAAGATAAGTTTTGTCTTTAATTTCTTGCTGGAATTATTTCTTGTGTGAATTATTTCTCTACAATGTTTCTGAAGTAAAAATAGAAAGAGCAAGAGTAGGCACTCAGTCCATCGGGCTTGCTACACCCTTTAGCATGATCGGAGTTATCTCTACACCATACTCCTGCTCTCTCCCCATATTGCCCGATGCCTTTAGTGGACAGAAATCTATTTCTTTCTTTTTCCAGCTCCAGCATCTGTTAGAGCAGGTAACGAATAAATCTGAATCAGGCAATGGTTCAACAGTTAAAGGACTGTGCGCAATGTAAATTGATAGGAAATAGGATATAAGTGATGGGCCAGATGGCCTCCTCCATTGCTGTAAATGACTGACTCATTCAGTACAATGGTACAAAGTTTATGGTAGTTTCAACTGGTAATGCACCACAAGAACTGGTTTGATTTTCCAATAGGAAAACGGGAATGACCAGTGGAACAAAAACTGGCAGATAAACACAACAGCACTGACACGCTTCAATAATTTTATTAAGAAAAAGTTAACATATTATATATTCCATTGTAAACAAAAACAAACATTCTACAGTTCTAAGAAAGCATTCAGCTATGCATTCATTAATGAACAGAAACCGGACAAAAATCGCACAATATAAATATTAAAAGTGCCATTTACAGGGTAAATGGACATTCAAAAATTTGAAGACTTTAAATTAATGACAAATCGTTTCTTCAACATAAGATGGTTTCTCCTTCCAACATTAAATGCAATGGCCTTGCAATTACACCTCGGGGCACCAGCCGAAAGTGCTAGGACAAACTCCTCGGTAAATAGCCGAGAAAACAATGCCGCATGAACACGTTCAGCTCGTGTAATTCCAAAGATGCATTGTGTTCTTTAAAAAAAAATCAAAACGGGAGGAATTTAAAAAGATTCCTGCTTCAGTCTGACGTACAGCATCTGAACTAACTATTCAAAAAAAAAACATGGCAGCTACTCTCAAAACCAAGCTGCCAGGCAAGAGGTTTAAAATGGAGGAGGGGGATGGGCACTTAGTTACACTACAACAAACCTTCAGAAGACTAAAATATCAGAGATATTGCATGGACCGGAATAATTTAAAAAAACGAGGGGGAAGCAACGTGCAAGATGGGATTTTACATTAACAGCTTCAGCAAAAAAAAGCTTTAATTAAGTGAATAAAGTGACGGTCCCTTGTAACGGGGAACTCGACAATCTGGTTTGTAGTGGGCTGTTTAGTTGAGGACCAGTGACTGCTAGGTTACAAATAAAATGCTGCAGATTCTGTGTTCAAGAAAGGGGCTGTTGTGTTTAGGGGAACCATACCAGATGCTTAACCCTTTTGAAATTTACGACCATACACTCCACTTTCCACCCCAATCTACTTCAATCAGACTGAACACAAAAATGTCTGGCAGCCTTTAATGACTGAATCTCTCTTTCCAAACCAGAATCTGTGCTTTGCACTTTCTAAGCAGCATGAACTAATACTATACACACCTCACTGGCACATACATCTAGAAATACTGTCAACTGAAGTAAACAAACTCAGGTTGTGCTACACGATCAAGTCTGGAATCTGATGGAACAAAGAATAACAAAGATCAGCGGACAGCAGCTAAGACATTACCTTTAAGCCACAGAATTCAGAAGCGGGTTGTTAAGCACAGAGGCTATCAGCATTCACTGACACATATTGCCTAAAACTACAACCACTGCGCACCAAAGATGGGGCCTGTCAGAGCGAAACCAGTGTGCTTAATGTTTAACAGTGAATTTCTGGAGTGAGCACACATTTAATACAGAGTCATCTAGGGCAGCAATTGGTTAATGGCCAAGTGTGATGCCTGCAGCAAACAAGCAAGGGTTAAATTACATCAACACACTTGCCTCTTCCAGTGGATAAAGAACCTGTTACATGTCAGAGACATAAGCCTGAGCCAAGCTCAGTGTGTAGTTTCTACAAATTACTGATCTCAGTCAGCACAGCAAGTGCTTCAATTAAGTTCAGTTCAAATAGGGTGGGGAGTGGTGGATTTGGGTCAAATTTCTATTGCTGATCAATAATTGAGCACCCTGCTCCCAGGAAAGTGCAAGGATGGGATAAACCTCAGCTACAGTGCCTTTGGCCAAACAGCCTGCTGACACATCCCATACGGACCCAAGTGATGATCTCCTGGATGAGATATCGGAGGGAAGTTTGCGCTACGTACAAAAAACAAAGACTGTACTCTGCCTCCATATGGGAAAACAACAGATTGAATTCATTCTTCCACTTGTCAACATTACAAACCTTCCCTGTAGGTGCCGACTCCAGTCAAATTAGACCAAAGTAGAAGTAGAAGTATTCTCCCAAAAAAATCTTTAAGCACTTTGGAGCATTACACAATGGAGTAATAAAAACACCAAGAAATCTCACATTCCAATATCATACAATCTTCGTTTGATTCATTCCCTAGAACTGTCTCCAGCACCAATTAATCCTATGTCCAGTTGCAAATACCCGCACTCCCAATACAGCCCAGGTCAGCAGGGACTAATAATAATGTAAGCACAACTGGCCTTTGTTGAATCCGAGTGAAGAAACTATATTTGCAGCATCACATCCCAAAACTCTCAGCTGCCCCTGTTAGACTTCACTAAAATCCATTACACTGATGTTGTCATAGTGACAACGCAAAATGTAAACACAATGGTGAATCACATGCTGCTCCCGTAAGAATCAGGTATGCAGTGTAATGTACAGGGACCAGAATCAGACCACATGTCCCTCCTTCCAAATACCAGGAACACATAGCAGATACTTAACCAGCATTTAAAACATACTGTACAAATTAATGACTTAATACACAGCAACAGGCTTTGGAAACATGGGCCCTAAAACAAGTACTGTGGCAGTGACTGTATCCAGTCTGCAATGCTTCACGTTAGCACCTCATACATCAAGGTAGGGACCGAGCAATGAACCAGCGATGTATGGAGTAGCTGTAGAATAAACAAACCCCAGAAATTAAAACCTCATATCCAACAGCAGTCAGTTATAAAATACAAGGGCTCACTGATGCTCTGGAGCCCACTTGTTCAGAGTTTACAGTAATATTTTTTTAAAATGAACTTCTTTGAATGTCACCAGAAGTTTAAAGTAAGTTGAGCCATGCAGAAAGGAACACACTCAACAGCAAACTAACCTTGTATTACTTAAATAAATCTTTGTGAAAACTCCAAGCTGTGTGTGGAAACAAACTCCATAAGAAACCCATGTGCCATAAACTAGCTGAGGGCAACTTGTGGCAAACCACAGCAAAGGTTAATTCTTGCTCTTGTGGGGGAGGGGGGAGTTACTAGGGACAGCTTGTAAGTGGGGGTTGGGAAAGGGGGTGATGAAGCTTTGATACAATTACTATGATCCCACATCTCAATCTAGATCAGCTACAGAGCTGCCACCTTCTATAACGTATTATCTCAAATTTACTTAAAATACTGAGGAACGACAATATTAATAAACATACACAATTTATCATTTCCATTCCTTTTGCTATCAACAAAGTAACCATTTGCATTGTAGCCCACGTCATACATCGCTCATGACAAAGTTACCACTGTCAGAATCTATAATTATATAAAAGAGTGTTTTACACTATTTAAGCTATATGACATCCTTGTGTTGATATTGATTGTGATGAAGTGAACCATCCATATCTAAGCTAATGTTATTCTAGAACATTTGTGAAGAACTTCAGTACTAGAGACAGAGAAATATAAACCAGTTGACAAAAATGCTGTCCAGTGTATGTGCTAATTGGGCATACAGTGCAAGAAATGGCACCACGTGGCTGTATTAGGTGAATGAATGAGCTAGTTATAAATTGAGTAGTGATGGTATACAGTCCAATTTAGAGAACTTCCAAATATGGGAAATGAGTTCAGGTACAAAATCTGCTTTCTAACCAATTTCTTAACTAATTTCCAATTCCTAATGTGAACCCAGAGTAAACCATAATCAGTGCCACAACCAGAAATTCTTCAGCATAAGGGGACTCTAAGCCAATAACTGTATTTGACAGAGATCAGTGAATCTGGCATACAGCATTCTGTCTTGCCGTGATGATTTTATCATATCACGAGAAAATCTTGGATCTTTTTCCCACCATGATCTTTTTAAAAAAAGAGTATCAGTGTTGTCAGCTTTTCTTGGACCACAAACAGAAGTTTGCAGCATATGCTGTAGAAAAGAGACTAGTGTAAAATTACCATTTTCATTTTTGTACAGCAGAATCAGACAGGTAAAGAGGTACACTACATTTACAGTGGAAAGACTCATTACTGAAGATGTGGCACTTTGAGCATGTACAACAGCTCAAAGGACAAGAGTCACCAAGCAGTATCGTAGCCTAGCAAGCAAACTGGGCACCTTTTTACTAAAAGCCAACAAATTAAAAAAGGTTACATTAGTCAAACAGAATCTCGCACATACAAAACCATTTAAACAGACATTATTTTCTCAGGTTTTCACGTAGTGAACAATTATCCCACACTCAAAAATGGAGAAACCAGCTCAAAACTGGACAGGAAGGGGAACACATCAACAAGCCAAAAGATTGAGCACAATATTCCTCAAATAATGTGCCAAATTGATTGGGGTTATTTCAGCACGTGTTGGGGCTTGGACCTGATTTTATGTCATCATTTCACCTATATTATTCACTTCTACAACATAGTGAGGAGCCTGGGTTTCAATGCAAACCATGTATTTTTAAGCAGAAATGGATTTACATTACAGCCCATTTACCAGTGGGTGGCAATAGATCACACTGTTTGGTCACTTTAACAAAATGCGAGAATTCCATTGCGCCAATTAAATTGAAAACCTGACCGTTCTACAGTTTGAAGCTAATAGAATCAGACATGCAAACACCCAGGATCTTTACAACTAACCCTCTCAACTCAATTTTTCCAATTTGGCCACCCTGACCACCAGTGGCTACAAACAATTGCTGTAGTAATTAGAAATGAGTCAGGCAGTTAGTTACAAAAAAAAAGTTACCAGATGTTCGAAAAACTCAAATAATAGTGGTCGGGGAGGGGCTGTATAGCAGGTACTCCCAGTCAGTCAGTTGGGATCAAGAGGGCACCAACATTGACATTTAAACATTTTGACAGCCAAAGAACTGGAAAATAAAGACACCACATCTACTCATTAGTTTACCAGCAACTCATCCAATAAGTCTCAAGTATCATCACTGGGAGGAATTTATAAATTATTATTACATAATATTTAAAGACTCCAATGTGCAAATCAACTTTGCAATATTACTATTTATTAATTCAGTTTGCTCCCCTCACCAGTGACACATAAATCCACTAGCACTCTACCCAATGTGCAATGAAAGACCCTCTTAGTGACAGACTGTATAACCAGTACTGTAGCTCAGTGCTGTAGTGATACTTGTAACCACTGGTACCCAGTAACAGTTCAAAAATCCTGAATCTACAATTATAAATTTAACTCCAATATTCCAACTACAGTGAACTGCACAACTCATTGCACAGCCAGGTCATAAGAAACTAACATCATGCACCCACTGCAAGAACTCAACCTCAAATTACAGCCACTTCAAACCTGCTTTAAGTGCTCTGGATTAGAAACTGGTGGTTCATTTCCCATCTAGAGCATGCATCCATTCTTCCCACTGATTGCACAATATCCCCTCCCTCTAAAAATCCTCCCAAATTGTTTCGCTGTATCAAGTCACAGTTCAATATATAAAGGTGGTGGGTTGTGGGGGCATTAATAAATGTTCTGCATGATCTAGCATCTCTGCAGGAGTGCAGCTGTCTACAGTCTGACCAAGAGAAGAGGCTGACTGAATACAGATGCATTTCCATTAAAGGGAAAAGGAAATCTATAGGGAGAGGGTTTCACTCAATTTTACGCAGCAAGAAATAACCTTTTCTCCCCTCACTTGCTGAGATACCCAAATGTTAAACATTCTTCCCAACCAAGTTGGTCTGTGAAACCCCCAGCAAGTACTAACTGGAACTGCAAGGTACTCCCCTCATCCGTACTCTTGCTTTAACATCTAAAGCAGTTTGAAAGAACTCTAGTGATTCTGTAAATGTCAAAACACATACATCCCTATCTCTACAACTCCACACTCAAATCAGATCACTAAATCCACATTGATCATAAGGCAAAGACCAAACACATTACCCTCTCCCCTCCATCAAAAAAATGAGAAAGCAGGCTGGGTTTGTATCGCCTTTAACAGAGATCAAGAAGCCTGGAATTGAGAGCCAAGGGACCAGACAAATAAAGCAAACAATCAGAACCCAAGAAAATCATTGGTGCAGAATTGGAGCTGCATTATGCAGGATTGTTATTTTTATTGCAATTCAACTGTACCTCATCACAGCATGCTCTTCTGTCCATTCTCTTAAATAACATTATTCAATGTTTGTTAAACACTGCTTCATAGATAGGGTGTGGGTGGGCAGTAGCAGAATGGGCATGTATAGTGAATGACAAAGAGAATGCTGTAAAGCACTACTGAGTTTCAATTACCTCAAGAAGTAACACGTCATAACATGAAGTGGTTTTTGCCAATGTTTAATTGGCTGCTTCAGCTGATAAAAATGCAGTCAAGACCAAATAAATTGTACTATTCCCCCAGACCCAGCCTGCAAATAGTGTGTAATACAACTAGTGCGGAAAAGCATGGCTCTCAAGTCATGAGCTCCCACTTCAGCACAGCTGCATGTATTGTACAAACAGTAAAAAATAGCACTCAATAATCCAATTTTACTGGAAACACATACTCCAAATTCAATGCTTATATCAAGGTACAAGTTAGAAGCTGATAGCCACAAGAGGTCCATAGCAACTGCAGGCAGTCTGTCCAAAGTCACTTTGTGATTTTATAAACATGCCGAAGGAAGAACTAGGTGGCTGGATGTGGGGAACACACCAGCAATATGTAAGCTACAGGTTGAGGACATTTGCCAGTTCACAGTCAAAGTAAAATGGTGATTCTCAACAGCAGTCAGTGCCAGCAACAACCACTGCACTATGCCCAAACTACAGCCGCATTCCATCACTTTGTAATGTTCCCAGTTTCCTGAAGTCAGGAATAGCATCTCATTTACATTACCAAGAGACAGAGGTGCACTGGGGGCCTTACCTAGAAAAACACATAACTGAACAAAAAATAACAGCATTCCGCAGGTTTCACATGTTGCTCCCACAAGTGCTGTCAGTAGCGTTCAGTTGTTAATGTTGGCCAGGCGTATTCAGAATGCTCATGAAGGCAGATGAATGGAGATGGGCATTTCTGATGCTGGGGCAGAATCAGGGTTACAAACTGTCAACTGAAGTGCATACTCAAAAAGCACTGATCACTGCTGACTGCATCACTCAGCATTCTCATCACAAGATCTTCTAGATACTTCAGGAAGCCAAAGTATTTCTCAATATTAATTTCTGAAAGGACAAGTTCTTACCTCACAAAAAAGAAAAAAACTGCTGTCACACCTAGCACAAAGGGCAGCTCACAGTTGCAGGGACACAACGTACCACACTGGAGTTCAGTAACTCCCCTGATTGCAGTGGATCAGAAAACAGAATTCTTCTGAAACTGGACTGATCCCAGTTGCTATTAGCCCAATTGTAAATTGTGTACTTAGTGATATTTTAAAAAAGATTGCTACAAGATGGTCTTTGAGAAAAAGGGTTTGTCGATTGAATAAAAGCTTCATTACCAAGTGGTTTAAGCAGTATTTTTAAAGGATGTTGTGTTTTTTTTTGCGGGGTGGGGGTGGGGGTGGGGGTGGTAAGGGAGGAGAAACGAATCAGGAATCCCAAAAAAAGTTACTTTGGACCCATAATGGGCCAATTGCACTCTGTATACAATAACACAACACTGAGAATCTGCACAAACATCCTTAACTTTATCTCATTCACACTGCACATACATACAATAGCCCCCATCTCCCTCCCTTGACTCGTGTGGATCAACAGGACTACACCCGTAAGATCTCAAGACAGTTATTATAGCAAATGGCTATCCAGTCAGGCTGGGTTGATGCCCATTGAACATTGTTGATTTCTCCTTCTGCTGTGTAGGCCAAAATGGGGTCTTCAATGGCACGTGGCATTTGCTGGATGTCCCAAATAAGTGCCTGATGATCATCCGCTTGAAACAAAAAAAAACAGTTCATTTAGATCAAAACAATACAAGACATCAGCCCTCAGCCCTCATTGCAATTAACCGACAGTGCCCAGATCAAGTCATTCCTCCCACCAAAAGCAGTCATCAGATGAGGGGATCGGACTAGTGCTTCCTGTACTGCATGCAGCTAGTTCTACTTAGGGTAGTTACTGCTTCACATTTTAAACAACAAGAATAGAAAGTGGACAACATGCTTTAATCACTGAAGTGTTAAGATGCAATGAGAACTCAAATCATCTGCATAGTGCATAATTTCTGTCCATCTGAAACATTCCTAGATTTCAGCCAGGACAATTAGGAAGCACCAAGGCCAGGCTAGGCATAAACCCACAGGGAAAAAAAATCATTGCTGGAGGCGACATCAGCCCAAACCACCCTGAGGGGGAATTCCCAGATGCTGTGTGACTGCTAAGAAGAAAGAGCCTTCCAATTACTGAGTGGTGTTCAACAATCACATCTGAATCTCCCAATCCCACATCCAAGAAATGAAAAAAAAACTTAAATTTCAACGCAGGTTCCAGTATGATCTAGATGTATGAGGCAAAATCCTGAAGATTGCCGCAGTGATCATAATATAATTACGTTTTGAATACAAGTTGACAAAGACAGAACAGTTCAAGATAATCATTGGGTTAACAGCCAATTTTAAAATGGAACAAACCTAGATGAATTTAATGTAAAAATTAACAATTAGACAGTAACTACTTGGAATCTTTCAAACCATGCACGATTATGTGATGACTAAACGTCCTCCCACAAGAGGGTACAGCAAAACCGCAAGGTCTTCAGATGGGCAGAGAAATTCAAATCAAAATAAAAGATTTAAAGAAGGTTAACTCAAATCTAGTAGCAAGGCTGTCAATACAAGGACACATGGTCGGGAATTCAGAGTGATGGGCAAGAAGCTGATTACAGAACTGGAAACAAAAACTGCCATAGCGTCATACAGCATGGAAACAAGACCCTTCAGTCCAGCTAGACCATGCGACCACATTCCCAAATTAAACTAATCCTACCTGCCTGCACTTGGCCCGTATCCCTCCAAACCTTACTCAAATGTACCTACTCAAATGTCTTTTAAACATTGCTACTGTACCTGCACCCACCAATTCCTCTGGCAGTTCACTCCACACACTAAACACTGTAAAAAAAGTTGTCCCCTGCGTTCTTTTTAAATCTTTCTCCTCTCACCTTAAAAATATGCCCCAGTTTTGAACACCCCCACCTTAAGGAAAAGGCCTTTGTTACTCACCTTATCTGCACCCCTCATGATTTTATAAACCTTTATTAGGTCACTGCTCAACCTCATACATTCCAGTGAAAAAACTCCCAACCTATCCAAGACAACAAGGTGCAGGGCTGGATGAACACAACAGGCCAAGCAGCATCATAGGAGCAGAATGGCTGATGTTTCGGGCCTAGACCCTTCATCAGAAAAGGGGGAGGGGAAGGGGGTTCTGAAATAAATAGGGAGAGAGTGGGAGGCGGATAGAAGATGGATAGAGGAGAGGATAGGTGGAGAGGAAACAAACAGGTCGAACAGGCAGGGATGGAGCCAGTAAAGGTGAGTGTAGGTGGGGAGTTAGGGAGGGGATAGGTTAGTCCAGGGAGGACGGACAGGTCAAGGGGGCGGGATGAGGTTAGTCGGTAGGAGATGGGGGTGCGGCTTGAGGTGGGAGGAGGGGATAGGTGGGAGGAAGAACAGGTTAGGGAGGCGGGGACAAGCTGGACTGGTTTTGGGATGCGGTAGGGGGAGGGGAGATTTTGAAGCTTGTGAAATCCACATTGATACCATTGGGCTGCAGGGTTCCCAAGCGGAATATGAGTTGCTGTTCCTGCAACCTTCGGGTGGCATCGTTGTGGCACTGCAGGAGGCCCAGGATGGACATGTCGTCTGAGGAATGGGAGGGGGAGTTGAAATGGTTCGCGACTGGGAGCTGCAGTTGTTTATCCAGCCTACTTTTATAATTCAAACCTTCCATTGCCAGCAACATTCTGGTAAATCTTGTCTGAACCCTCTCCAATTTAATAATATCCTTCCCATAACATGGCGACCAGAACCGCACAGTACTCTGGAAGAGACCACACCAACATCCTGCACAACCGTAGCATGATGTACCAACGCATTTACTCTAAGGTCTGAGCAATGAAGGCAAGCGTGCTATATGCCACCTTAACCATTCTGTCTACCTGTGATGCAAATTTCAAAGAATTATGGACCTGAACCCCTAGATCTTTGTTCGGTCTCTGTTCTACAACACTACCCAAAGCCCTACCATTAATTGTATAAGTCCTACCCTTGGTTGTTTTAACAAAATGCAATAACTCACATTTACCTAAATTGAACTTCAACTGTCAGTCCTGAGCCCATTGACCCAAGTGATCAAGATCTATTCGTAATTTTAGATAACCTTCTTCACTAGCCGCTATACCACAAGTACTGGTGTCATCTGCAATCTTATTTACCATGCATGTTTCTCAGATTGAACAGACAGGAACAACTGCATGCTCTACAAGTCAGTGATCAGAATCTTGGAACCACTGCCCTTCCATTATTGATGAGGATTCAAGAATGCAAGTGTAAAATCAATATTTGTAGGTGATACAAAAATAATGAGGGCAATTAACTGAGAACAGGATTAATTAATTACAGGGGAGGCCATGGCCTAGTGGTATTATGACTATTAATCTAGAAACTCAACTAATGTTCTAGGGACTCAAGTTTGAATCCTGCCACAGCAGATAGTGGAATTTGAATTCAATAAAAAAAAATCTGGAATTAAGAATCTACTAACGACCACAAAACCACTGTCAACTGCCAGAAAAACCCATCTGGTTTAATAATATCCTTCAGGGAAGGAAATCTGCTGTCCTCACCTGGTCTGGCCTACATGTGACTCCAGACTCTCAGAAGTGTGGTTGACTCTCAACTGCCCTCTGAAATGGCCTAGCAAGCCATTCAGTTGTATGAACTGCTACAAAATCAAAGAAATTGAAACCGGACGGATCACCTGGCATCTAGGCACTGCAAAAGACAACAGCAGAAACAGCCCTGTCGACTGTGCAAAGTCCTCCTCACTAACATCTGGGGGGCTACTGCCAAAATTGGGAGAGCTGTCTCACAGACTAGTCAGGTAACAGCCTGACAGACTCATACTCAGTATACCTTACAGACAATATCTGACCATCACCATCCCTGGATATCTCCTGACCTACCAGCGGGACAGACCCAGCAAAGGTGGTGGCACAGTGGCATACAGTCGGGAGCATATTGCCCAGGGAGTCCTCAACATTGATTTGGGACCATATGGAGTTTCACAGCTTCAGGTTAAACACTGACAACAAAACCTCGTACTATTACCACAATGTCCTCCCTCAGCTGATGAATCGATAATCCTCCATGTTCAGCAACACTTGAAGGAAGCACTAAGGATGGCAAGGGCACAAAATGTACTCTGGGTGGGGAATTTCAGTGTTCATCACCAAGAGCGGGATGGCAGCAGTACTACTGATTGGGCTTGTTGAATCCTAAAAGTCATGGCTGCTAAGCTGGGTCTGCAGTAGGTGGTGAGGGAAGCAACAAGAGGGAAAAACATACTTGACCTCATCCTTACCAATCTGCCAGCTGCAGAAGCATCTGACAGTATCGCTAAGAATGATCATCGCGAAGATGCTGTACTGCCTTCACATTGAGAAAAACCTCCATTGTGTTGTGGCACTATCACAGTTCTAAATGGGAGACTTTAAACAGACCTAGCAACTCCAGACTGGGCATCCACGTGGCACTGTGGGCCATCAACAGCAGCAGAATTGTACTCTAGCACAATCCACAATCTTACGGCCCAGTATATCCTCCACTCAACCATGACCATCAAGCCAGGGGATCAATGAAAAGTGCAAGAGGGCATGCCAGGAGCAGCACCAGGCATACCTGAAAATGAAGTGTCAATCTGGTGAAGCTACCAGACAGGACTACTTGCTGCCAAACAGCATAAGCAACAAGTGATACAGCTAAGCAATCCCACAACCAATGGGTCAGATCTAAGCTCTGCAGTCCTGCCACATCCGGTCGTGAATTATGATAGACAATTAAACAACTCACTGGACGTGGAGGCTCCACAAATATCCCCACCCTCAAAAGTGGAAGAGCCTAGCACATCAGTGCACAAAATAAGGCTGAAGCATTTGCAGCAATCTTTAGCCAAAGTGCCAAGTGGGTGATCTATCTCGACCTCCTCCAACGGTCTCCAGCATAACAGATACCAGTCTTCAGCCAATTCTATTCACTCCACGCAATATCAAGAAACTGTTGTAGACACAGAATACTGCAAAGGCTATAGGCCCTGACAACATTCCAGCAATAGTACTGAAGCTTGTGCTCCAGAACTTGCCACTCTCCTAGCCAAGTGTTCTGGTACAGTTATAAACCTGCTGTCTACCCAACAATGCAGAAAATTGCCAGGTATTACCTGCACATAAAGAGCAGACAAACCCAACCCAGCCAATTACTGCCCCAGTCTACTCTCGATCATCAGAAAAGTGACGGAAGGTGTTGATGCAAGTGCTATCAGGCAATAACCTGCTCATGGATTTTCAGTTGATATCTTTGGCGGAACAATCAGCTCCTGATCCCATTACAGCTTTGGTTCAAACATGGACAAAACAGCTGAATTCCAGAGGTGACGACAGTGTGACAGCCCTTGAACATTGAAGCTGCATTCGACTGACTATAGCATCAAGGAGCCCTAGCAAAACTGGAATCAATGAATATCAGAGCAAACATTCAGCTGGTTGGGGTCATACATACGAAGATGGTCGTGGTTGAATGGAGGTCAGGCATCTCAGTTCCAGGACATCTCTGCAGGAGTTCCTCAGGGAGTGTCCTAGGCCCAACCATCAATGACCTTCCCTCCATCAGTAGATCAGAAGTGTGAATGTTTGCCAGTGATTAAACAAGTTCAGCACCATTCACAACTCCTCAGACACTAAAGCAGTCAGTGTTCAAATGCAACAAGATCTGGACAATATCCAGGCTTGGGCTGACAAGTTGCAAGTAACATTCGTGCCACACAAATGGCCATCATCAATCTAACCGCTGCCCCATTGACATATTATCACTACTGAATCCCCCACTATCAACATCCTAGGGGTTACACTGACCAAAAACTCAACTGGACTTGCCATATAAACACAGTGACTACAAAAGTAGGTCAGAAGCTAGGAATACTGTGGTGAGTAACTCACCTCCATAACCCCGCCAAAGCCTCATCACCATCTACAAGGCACAAGTCAGGAATATGACCAAATACTCCGGACTTGCCTGGAAGGGTGCAGCTCCAACAACACTCAAGAAGCTTGACACCATCCAGGACAAAGCTCGATTGGCACTACATCCACTCCTTCCAACATCGGCACTCAGTACACACTGTTGCAACTATCTACGTGATGCATTCAGAAATTCACCAAAGATCCTTAGACAGCACCTTCCTAATCCACAACCACTTCCATCTAGAAAGACCAGGGCAGCAGATACATAGGAACACCATTTTCACATTCCTCTCTAAACCACTCACCATCTTGACTTGGAAATATATTGCAGTTCCTTCACCATCGCAGGGTCAAAATTCTGGAATTCCTTCCCTAAACGCATTGTGGGTCAACCCACATCAGGTGGACTACAGCAGTTGTCCAGGTGGCAGGAAGGTGGCAGTACACCATCACCTTCTCAAGGGCAACTAGTTTCGGGCAATAAATGCTGGCCCAGGCAGCGATGCTCACATCCAAAAAAATGAATTAGAAAAAAGACAAAAAGCTTAATATATTTTGGGATGTTGGAAGAAAATTTATACTGAGAAATCAGGGACGTTTTTGGAGAACTGAGATAAAAGATGCATTACAGGACAAAACTTGAAAAAGCAAAAGAAGGCAGATTTAGATACATTCCTAGTGTTATAAATAGGATAAAAATATGAAAATGATAATGGCAAACTCACAGATTACAGAATAAGCCAGTTTTGGGCAAATTAATTATGACATTTTAGGGGACGAGATATTTTGGCTTTAAGAGTCTAGAGAAACCGTGACACTGGAACAAGGAGGGTCTAAAGGAAATCTGATCGACATTTTCAAAATGGTGATAGATTTTGATGTTTTAAATAGAGATAATCCATTTTGACATCCAAGATGAGTCACTAATCAGAGGTCATACACTTCAGTTCATCCCCCAAAGAACGAAGGGAGGCTAAGTGAAAGGTTCTGAGGAAGGATCACCAGACCTGAAACATTAACTCTGTTTCTTTCCTTCACAGATGCTGCCAGACCTGCTGAGCTTTTCCAGCAACTTTGTTTTTGTAAGTGAAAGGTTGTCAGGACATGGAGCATCCAAATAGAAACAGTGGTGGAAGCAGCCTCCACAATAACTTTAAAAGGAAAGTGTTAAGTAAATGAATAAAACAAAAATATGCTGTAAAATTCTACCTTTAACTAAGAAAGAATTCAGAGAATTTCAATCTGCCCAAGGTGATAAGAGCCAGCAGCAGAAAACAGTTCTGTAGTAATCTCAGATCCGGTGTGATCCATGGAAAGTGCCAGATGAAGGCAACTGAGATGCCCTTCTGCAGTACTGCAGAATGGAGGGAACCTTACACTTCACTTAACCAGTATTGCACCCATGGTAGTTGCCTGCTGAAAAGTTCTACTTCTAACACTGAGCCTAATCAACACAAACATCTTCAAAGTACTGAGGGGAAAGAAGTAGTTTTGTTCAGTCAGAACACAACTTGTAGCTGGTGGGAGTCACATGCTTAAATCTACTGCACTGGATGTGACCGTAATCCAGCCCAAGTATCAAACTTTCTGATATGCATTTCTGAAAAATAAACTACATTGTTCTGGGGGCAACAACCTTTATTCTGGATTGGAACAAATTACTAAAGCATTTGGCCTTTACCTGCAGTGCAGATGTGACATGAAGAATGTGGAGCCCAAGCAATGCCATTCACACATGCTCGGTGATTGTTCAGCCGGGCCACAGGAGTGCAGGGCACACGAACGTCGAGAATAACCACCTGCAAAAGAAGGACATGTGGTTTTGGCTCATCACACTACAAAAAGAGTAATTAATGACAATAAGGTAACCGTGAAGTATGGGGTTTCAGGACAGGATTACTCACCTGAATGCAAAAGTGACTAGATGCAATATGAATAATCAACATTCTCACTGACTTGCCATAATATAATTAACCTGATGTTAACACATTGTTAGCTAAGAAGTTTACGGACTTCCTACGTATGAGTGCCACAGTGGCCGTCAACACTGCTGAAAAGTCTAAAAATGACAATGACATGACGTTGTCCAAGTGACAGGAAACAAACAATAGCAGTAACTTTTACTCTTAGAGTAGAGGAGGATATACAGTGGTGTCAGTACCGGAACCACAATGTTCCTTGATATAATTGAGACTTAAGTGTATAGGGTTCAAATTCAACATTTGCACAATACCAAACTTACAGGTGTGCCAAACAATAAGGATGTTACAATTAAACTGCAACAGGAAATAGATAGGACATTGAAAGCAACGAACAGACAAGTGGCAGCTAAAAAGGTGAAAGGAATGCGTTTTGAGAGAAGGGAGTAGTAGCAGGCTTTCCAGGCCTTCTGCTTATTTCTGCATGCCCCACTCTGGCACTGTCCTCTTCAATTGCTTGCAATGACCCTTCCATTTTCAACTTCAATCAGCGATATGACAGGGGCAAAGAATCCATATGGCAGTTTCCAGTTTCCCATTGATTACTGTCCTCTTCACAAATGACATTGCATCTATAAGCAATCATTGTTCCTCGAAATTCCAGCTTATCCACCATCATGAAAAATTCGTTGGTTTCATCATCAACCGAGGCTCACAGAATCCCCCAATCAGGGCCTTACTTTCTTGAGTAAAAGGTGACTCTTCCCACCCCCTTGTATCTCACATGACTCTCTCAGCTTAAGAAGAAACAAACTATAGATTTAATGATAGTTCTAAAGAGGCAGAGGGAGCTGGGAGTTCACATATGCAATCTTCAAAGATGGCAGGACATGCTGAGAGTCAACAGCAGCATATTGAATAAGTATCAAGTCCAGTTCTGGTCACATAAGAGCACGCTGGTCCTCAAAAGGGTACAGAGGAGATTTACCAGGATGGTTTCAGAATGAGGGATTTAACTACAAAGTTAAGCTGCTGTTGTTCTTACTGTAGTAAAGGAGATTGAGGGGCAATAAGAGGTGCACGCTTATGACAGATTTAGGCAAAAAGGCAACAAAAAGTGACCCCATTAGCTGATCCCATACGTAACAGGGGCCAAAGATTTAAGTCTTGTTTTAGATGAGAGGTACAATAGGGTGCAAAAAATATATTTTTCCCCTCGGACAAGTGACAATTCACTTGAAGTACACTACAAAAGCAGAGATCAACAATTTCAAAAATAAATTGATGGGCACATGGAAACACATCCACAGGAATTCATGGTTGGTGACTGACTGGATTCCTTTGAGATGTGGCATGAACTCAATGGGCAAAATGGCCACTTTGTGTGCTGTAATGTTGGCTCTAGAACAGCCCAACATGTTCCAAAAAAAAAGGGCGGGACCATCAAATCCTGCGAGCCCTGGATGTCAAAGAATATAGAGCACTGGTTTAATAGAAAAAGGGAGGCAGATGCTGAGGGCTCAAAGAATTAAAGGAGTATAGAATGTGCAGGACCAAACTTAAAGGGATAGGAAAGGATATTGGCAGGTAAAGGAAAATCCTAACTTGTTTTACATTAAGGGTAAAAGGATAATGAGGGAAAGAGTAGAGCTCTTTAAGGACTACAGGTGTGTTTGCAGCCAGATGATGCAGGCAGGGGTCTAAATGAATATTTTGTGTTGGTGTTCACTAGTGAGAAGAATAATACAGGTATGGAAATCAGCGAGAAAGTCTGGTGATACAATTATAGAAATTAACAGAGGGGAGGCTCTGAGCACTCTGGCAGGCTTAAAAGTAGATAACCTTCAGAGGGAGGCGATCACAAAAACATGCAATTTTTCTCTGGCCTCAGGAGAAGTGTTAGAGAATAGCCAGTGTGGTACAATATTCAAGAAGGCAGCACGAGATAAACCATACCACCTCAGCTGATCAGTCTGACCTTGGTGATGGGGAAACTACTGGAAGCAATTCTGAGGCAAGGATTAATCAAGAACATCCAGCATGGTTTTGTTAATGGGAGGTCATGTCCGACCAACATGGCTGACTTTTTTGAAGAGCTGACCAGGTGTGGGGATGAGGGCAATGTTTTTGATGTAAGCTACTTCGACTTCAACAAGGCTTCTACGAGGTCCTGCATGGGAGATTAAGAGCCCATGGGATCCATGGAAATTTGTCAAATTCGATCCACAATTGGCTGAATGGCAGCAAGCTCTGGGTGATATTTGAGGGGTGTTTTTCCAACTGGAAATCTGTATCTAGTAGGATCCTACAGGATTCAGCATCAGAAACCTTGCTCTTTGGGTTTATATAAATGATTTAGACTTGAATGTAGGAGGGTTGATCAATAAGTTTGCAGGCGATACAAAAATTGGTGGGGTGGCAAAAAGTGAAAAGGATTACCTTAGACTACAAGAGGATATAGACAATTGGTCAGATGGGCTGATCAGCAACAAATGGAATTTAATCTGGATAAATGTGAGGTGATGCATTTGGGCAGGACAAACAAGGCAATAGAATGCATGATGAATGGTAGGACCCTGGAATTAATCAAGAATCAGAGGGACTTGGGTTTCAGGACAGGTGGATATAGTGGTTAAGAAGGTATACGGTATATGTGCCTTTATTAGTCAAGGCATAGAATTTAAGTTCAGGAGGTTTCACTAGAACTGTGTAAAACGTTGGTTAGGCAACAGCTGGAGTATTGTGTGCAGTTCTGGAATCCACATTATAGGAGGGATTGCACCAGAGAGAGGATGTTGCCTAGGCTTGAGAAACTCAGTTATAAAGAGAGATGGAACAGACCGGCGCTGTTTGCCTTAGAGCAGAAGAGACAGCAAAGGACATGATTGAAAGGAAGGGACTCTTTCCGTTGATGGAGGGATCAATGACCAAGGGGCATAGATTTAAGGTAAGGAGTAGAAGGTCTAGTAGAGATGTAAGGAAATATTTTTTCACCTAGAGGGTGGTGGGAATCTTCAACACTCTGCCTGTAAGGATAGTATGATGCAGAAACCCTCATAACAATTATAAAGTATTTAGATCAGCACTTGCGATAGCAAGGCATACAAGGCTGTGGGCCAACTGTTGGAAAATGGGGAAGGGTCTAGGCCCGAAACGTCAGCCTTTCTGCTCGGCCTGCTGTGTTCATCCAGCCCTGCACCTTGTTGTCTCGGGTTACTTAAGTGGTTGTTTTTGACTTACCCGGCCTCAATCGCCAAAGGTCCTTTTACTTATATAGTCATAAAAACATTAGAGTCATAAGTATGATGAAGAGCTCATCTCTACAGAAGCAATTAGACCATCTCACATCTGAATTTGTTCTCTGCCTCTGACCAAAACATCTCAGACTGCATTGACTGCTGTTGATGCTACTTGCCATGGATTGCTTATTCTATCCTTGCTGAAGGTTGACTAAGTACACTCCTATTCGCTCCTGCTGAGATGTACTGATCTTCTCAACAGCAGGCAAGTTGTAAAGCAGTCTCAGTTGCTCGCCAACAAAAGTAGTGCACAAATAATTACTGCAGTGACATCACGATTTGTAGGACACTGAGCATGGCCAATTCGTTCATTCGCACCACTAGTTTGATACAACAAAGACTGAGTCACATTGTGAATTAACTTTCACAGTATGGCTGGGGTGCAACGTGTATAAGACATTGGTGTGACCTAATTGGATTTGAGCAAGTCTCAAGTTTCCACTAACCAGTCACAAAAGTCTGAAATAATGAACACACAGCAATAAAACTATCCTGGGCTTGAAGGATTAAAGTCATTTTTGCATTAACCTGATGTTCAAAGGAATAGTTTTATGCAGCGTACTGCCCTGTCTGTACTGGAGCAAAAGATGCAATCTCCTGGCCCATTTCTTCACTCTTCAAAAGTATCAAATTGCATTGACCTTCATGTAGGTTACAAATATCATACAATGTACAAACTAAACCTGCATTAGTGGTTAGTGGATGCGATGCTTATGTTGGAGTAATATTCACAGTTGTAGGGTATCTTTGGCGGCTTTACCTAAATGTCTAGCCTTCGTTGGTAGGCTTTCACATGGCTAATCAACTATTACTAATTTTAAAAGTTAACATTCCATTTTCAGCATTTAATTCTAGCTGTGTTCGCTGTACAGTACCAGGAATAGGTACACAGTGTCTCTCTGGAGGTGTTGTGGGGAGGGAAGGGACAAAAAAGAAATAGTTGCTTAATCACAACAGATTGGGATTGAATGCAGGACTGCCTCAGTGTGCAGAACTCAGTTCAACATATGGGGGAAACATCAATTATGCTATTGAGGAGATATTATTAATTTCCAAACTTGTTTATCGCTACTCACCTCCATTCCATCCATTGCCATAGTAGCTAGGTAATTGGGATCTTGCTTATTCCAACACAAGCGAAGCAATGGATGGTGTTGGGGATCTTCATAGATGATAGTGCTGTGCTCCAAGTGTCGAAGATCAAACATCCGCACTGAACCATCTGCACCCACAGAGGCAAACATATCTCTACCACCTCCTGCCCTGCTGAATGCAATGTCATAAACCTGCAGATAAGAAAGAACAGCAAGTTTGAGCAATCACGCTGCCTTATCATCAGCACTTTCAGGAGAGGAAGAGGCAAATACAATTTCATTTTCAACTAAGTGTTTTCAATCCTGCTTAGTCTTTCAACTTCTCCCCACTTATTTGTGACGTTATTATGCTTTAGAAATGTTTTCCAGTCTACCATTCTCTCCTCTCGCAAATGAAAACTGTGACCCATCAGCTACGCAAAGGTAAACGATTATTTTTCAGCTTATGAATCTGGGTTTAATAGTTTACACTGCCTGCTGAAGGGTCCAACTTGGAGCAAGACTCAATATTTAACGTACCCAAAAATGCAGAACTTGTTCTAACTTCAGCAATTAATTGGCAGTCACAACAGAGACCAGGTGAGTACCTTATACAAGATGAAGGCGGCCTCAATGGTACTATACCCATCACTTAACGTACAACTTTAATACACTTCTGGGCAGAGTGAAGGGTGTTTTAGGCAGCATTTAGCCATAATGCAGCTGTCCTAAAGTATTTGATGCTGGTGTGCAACATTTGGAATAGAAGGTGCTCTATTGTCTAGACCCAACACTGCATTTAAATGGGCACCTGCGCTGCCGAAAGTGGAAGAAACAGTTCACTTCCAGATAACAATTGTTTAACTTCACTTTATCTCAACTGGCTTTCCATATCCCCCATAATCAGTAAAACATGGGCAATAAGCGTAAGGAAGTCACCAGAGTCTTACCAGACTATGGTACCAGAGTACAATGGTCTTACCAGACTATCAGGCTGCTCTGTCATTAGACAGGCAACTGGTAGTGGTTTAACCCGAGAGTCACAACACCTCAAGTGAGGGGATAGGTTAAGAAGGAGAAGCCTTCGTGGTAACCTCAGCTGGGGCAGGACTCAACTCTATGCTGTGGCTAACCAGCCGTCCAGTCAATTGAGCTAAACTGATCCCCAAATAAGGGCAATAAGCAGACTCAAAAATAAAAACAGCAGTAGGCCATTCAGCTGCTCAAAGCTGCTCTACAGTTCAATCTGACCCAGCCCAATGTTTCCTTCTGAAAACATTCAATATTTTGGCTTCACCCACTTTCTGTGGCAGAGAATTCCATAGGCTCATTACTGTCCAGATGAAGAAATTTCCTAAACGGCCTACCCCACATCTTTAAACCGTGACTCAGATTCTGGATTCCCCATTCATTGGGAACGTTCTTGCTGTGTTTACCCAGTTTAGTCCTGTTGGAATATTTTCGGTTTCAATGAGATTCCCCCTCATTCTTCTAAACCCCAGTGAATACAGTCCTAACTTATCCAGTCTTTCTTCCTATGTCAGTCCTGCCATCCCAGGAACAAGTCTGGTAAACCTCTATTGCACTCCCTCCATATCCAGAATATTTTTCTTCTGATAAAGAGACCAAAACTGCACCATACTCCAGGTGTGGTCTCACCAAGCCCTGTAGAAATGCAGTATGATATCCCTGCTCCTGTACTCAAATCCTATTGCTGTGAAGACTAACATACCATTTGCCTTCCTTACCACCAGCAGCACTGCCTACTTACTTTCAGCAGCTGGTATTCAAGGGCATCCAGGTCTTGTTGCACCTCCTTCTCTCCCAATCTAACACCATTAAAATTATAATCCACCTTCCCTTTTGTGCTAGCAAAGTGGATTTTTCCACAATACACTTAACTACCATTCATCTGCCCATCACTCAACTTGTTGAGTGTTTAAAGTTATTGCAAATCAGTAATTTTGAAAATAAAAACTTTTAAAAGATGTCTATAATTACCCAATCATGGATACAGCTGCAGACTCAATGGGGCAAATCTCCTCCATCTGCGCTATTCTATGATAGCACCATCTTTTTCCACTCATCAGCGGAACCAGTGAAAATTAATTTAGGCAAGTAGCACAAGTAATCATTCAGCTGCTGCTAAAACAGTTAGCAATTTTCGTCATACTTAGTACAGCTAGTTCTTCCCTAACAGCGCTCTGCTACAAAGAAGTGTTGCTCAGAATGTCAATATTTTTAATTTAGCTACAGTTACAAAGCCTCCATTCTACAAACTGTGCATAAAGTACAGGATTGCACTGGCTGCAAACCAAATATCAAACTATCAGGTCTCAACAAGGCTAGCAATTTAGACAAACTACCTCCAGAGTCACTGGTATTGGCAGATTCTGGTTACTTTGCACGGTGCAACATACAGGACCCATACCCAGGGAACAAGTCGAGCAGTTCTCATGCAATAAAAATAGAAAATGCTGCAGAAACTCAGCACTTCTGGCAACATGTTTGGAAAAAAGAGATTTAAAATTTTGAACCCAAAAGCACTTTGAAACAGATCTCATTCAATGTTGAAAACAAAAAGCTTTTGTTCCATTCATTGCCTCTGTACTCATCAAGAACCGAGAGCATCAGACATTTTAAATACTTATCATTGCTCAGAAGCAGAGTTACTGAATCATTAGCATCTTTTACTACTAACCAGTTAAGAACATTTACAGTCCAACAGACACAGCGCTCATTTTTACAATTATTGCCGATCAATATGCTGGATTACGCAGAATAGTAGATGATGATTAAGGAACTATCAGCAAGTGGTTACTACAGCCAATCTGTCTTGATCACTAAATCATTGTAACAAGAGTATTAAATCAATAGTCATTATCCTAAATGACTTGAGATTAGAAACTATACCTACCAAAACAGAATATCTCAGGACTCCTTTAGGCATAAAACAAGATTAAATAATTGTTGTACTCCCACAATGGTGCCTTTGCTCATTAGCAATTCTATTAAAACAAGATCATAAGAATAGGAGCAGGAGAAGGCTTTATGGCCCCTTCAGCTTGCTCCATCATTAAAAAAAAGGTCATGACTGATTGAATTCTGGCCTCAAGTGCACTTTCTTGCCTGTGCCCCATAACCCACAACACTCCGTAGACCAAAAGGCCATCCAACTCAGTGTCAAGTACATTCAATGACCCAGCCTCCACTGTTCTTTGTGGAAGAAGATTTCAAAGGTTAACAATTCTGAGAAGAAACTCCTTCTCACTTCTGCCTTAAAATGGGAAGACTTCTTATTCTCAAATTCTGCTCCGTTGTTCTAAATTCCGCATAAGGAGAAACATCATCTCAACATCTGCACCCTCAAGCCCTGTTGGAATCTTACATGTTTAAATAAAGTTACCTCTCATTCTTCTAAATGCCAATTAATATAGGCCCAATTAGCTCAACCTTTCCTCAAAGCAACCCCATCATCCCAGGAATCAGTCCACTGATCAGTTTCCAATGCAAGTATGTCCTTCCTAAAGTAAGGAGACCAAAACTATAGTGTTTTAGGTGCAGTATCAATGACCTCTACAGTGTAGTGTATCAAAACTCCACAACTTTTTATTTCATTTCTTTGCCTTTGGATTGCCATCCAGCAAAGGAAAGGCACCATAGGCATTGTAACATTCCATTTGCCTTTCTAATCACTTGTTGTACTTGCACGCTAACCTTATGTTTTCCTTTATCTGTATTGCTGGTTACAGATTCAAGAAAACTATCAAACACTATTATACTTTCACAAATCCATTTTGACTCAGCCTGACTGCACAATGATTTTCTAGACGTCCTACCACAATCACTTGAATAATGAATTCCAGCATTTTCCCAATGACAGATGTTAGGCTAAATGGCCTACAGTTTACTATCTCTCCTTCCTTTCTTGAAGGCAGCATTTACAAAGATTATAGCCAATGTGTAATCATGATAAATTTTCCGCCTTTCTTTGTATTGATTTTCTATTCTTCAATGCTAGGATAATTCACACCATCACAGCAGCTAACTTAGTGGGAATCTGGAACTGAAACAGAGACCAGGTGTTCTGTACTGCCCAGCTGTATGATTCGTTCACCAACTGACTTATTGGGTATCGTCATATCCTGCATTGAACCGAGCATGCATACAATAAGACTTCATTACCTCTTTATCATGAGCAATAAGTTGCGTTTTCACATGACCAGAGACCAGATTGACTCGGCCGAGGACCTGTCCTGTCTCCAGACCCCAAATTGTACAAGTGGTGTCTATGCTGGAAGTACCTGCAGAAAAAACAGCATTCATTACAAACTTGACCATCTAAGAAACAGAAGATGGTTGTTATTCAAAACAAGTCTGGCACACTTTTTTGGAACAGTCCTCCATAAATCCCTTTCCAGTCCAACAAAAGGCACATAACCCATAAACACGTATTTGCTTTTTTTTAATCTCACCAATAATTATACAACTCTATTATTCTTTGATAAAAAGACCACTGACATCCCTCCTTTACTCATCAACTTCTTGTTCTTCCTACTCGCTTCCTGTGGGATTCAAAATCTACATCATGATTCAGTTGCTTGGATGATTTTTTATCAATTCCCTCTATATTTATAGAAGTATTCTTGAAATTTCTGTAACAAAAGTCAAAACTTACAAAATGTATTAATTTAATTTACAACCCTCGAATCATCTTAGTTCCTCACTTCTGTACTGAAAGGTTTCAACAGCTTTGCGAATTCCAGCTGGTTTTCCCTGCTCTTTAAAGTAAACTGTTTACAGTAAAGGGTTCAATCAGTTTTGTCAATACTCTTCATAACCTTAAGGATTTTCATGAGATTTCATCTTGAAAGAAAACAGTGAAACTGCTAACATTTCAATTTGGTGGGTGCAACAACTCATAACGTATCAAAACCCACTTGCTTTTATCCCATTGGATTGTTTATTTTACAGCAAGATGAGAACTGGAAGCAGTGAATGCACATCCAGTCATTCCACGTACAGGCACTCTCTCAAAAGGACAAAAAGGAAGCGTTTTTGGTTGAGTAGTCACGCAGATGGAGGGGGGTGGTGTGTGGCTGGCAATGGCAGAAAAGTTCAGATACAAAGTTGGCAGTGTGGTTACATCACACGTCTACTGTAATTTCTTTATTTATGATTGAGTGCTGGAAAATTCAGCTTGCACAGAAATTTATAGCTGCTTAGGAAAGTAAATGGCTTTGATTTGTCAACAGCCGCAGGCTCAGGCAACCTTCTAAATTTATTACAGCTTCTCAGATGTTCTTCCTTAAATTCTGTCAGGGTAGTGTACGACCGAGTGATACACTAAAGGCTTTATTCTTAGCATATGCTGAGTTAAACTATGGTGACAGATGAGAATCTTAACTGATTTTAGCTACACTAGTCTGGATGAGAGGGAGAAGGAAGCAAATCAGCCAGGCTCTCCATTGTCCCCAACAGTATACTCAGGTGTAAACACTTGTAACCATGATAAATTTTCTTCCTTTCTTTGTATTGACTTTCTATCCTTCGAAGCAAACATAATTCACACCATCACAGCAGCTAACTTATTGGGAATCTGGAACTGAAACAGAGATCAGGTGTTCTGTACTGCCCAGCCACACGATTTGTTCACCAACAGACTTTACTGGGTTTTGGATTCACTGTAATACCGAATATCGTATAATAACCAGCCAATTCTCATCTTTCCAGGCTCAGCCGAGACAGAATTCATGCATTTTTTGAAGGGAGAAAAAAAGAATGAGAAAACAAAAGCATCTACTATTTAAGACATGTTACACATTCATCTTTGCCCTGCTGATTAGTTATTTCTCACACTAGTGGTATTCAAAAAGAAGTTACTAGAGATTACACAAACAGGCCTCAGATTAAACAATGTGTGCTCTCAAATTTGAGGTGCTGGCCCACACTTTGCAGCAATGCCAAACATTTGCAAAAATGGGAGAGTCCTTACACAAACGTATCTTCTTGCGAGTGGAGGCTGAATTTCAGACTCCCCCTTAAGTTTCTGTCCATCTTTCTAGAAGATGCCTCACTCTTTAGTGCATCGTTCATGCTCTACTCTAAAATAGGATAAACACTGTAATGCCTTAGTAAGTGAATGAACTAGGAGACAGGGCAGGAGAGGCAAAAATATCCCAAACACGGCTAAAACCTGAAACTGCAGTCACTGCAAAACAGCTACACAGTGCATACCACATTGGCTGTAATTGGCTGTAACTGACCTCAGTGGGCAAGGACAAGAAGTTATAAATAAATTTTCCAACAGCAAATTGGAGGAGTTCAATTACATTTGTTAGAGAGAAAAAAATGATCAAATCACCTCCAAATCTTCTAAGCTCCAGAGAAGAGAATCAGTATTGCAAAGTTGTAATTAAATTCTTAGAGTCCAAGTATCACTCTGGTATATCTACTCCCCTTTCTAACATGTAGGGCGCCCAAAACTGCTCTCAGTTATTCCACATGTGGTCCAACCAGAGCTTTGTATAGGTGAAGTCTTGATGTCTACCCCGTTGTTTTCCACTCCTCTAGATCTAAAGGACAACATTCAGCCTTTCTGATTATTCTCTAAGCCTATAGTTGGTATTTTATTGACATGCATGGACCTCCAAGTCTCTCTATTCCTCCAAGGTTTCTAATTTTTAGCATTTAGAAAGTATCCTGTTCAATTCTTTAGTTTCAAAATGTGGATGACTTTAGTGGCTTAGACTGAAATCCATTTGCTAGCTCTGTTCATTTACTCAATCCATAACTAGTGCCTCCATCTACAGTGCTTACAATGCTGTCTATCTTGCAGTCATTACAGATTTAAATGTGTCTTTCTATTCTAACATTAGAACAGGACGTTAATTATGGCGAAATAATGACCACTCAATGCAAATCCTTGCGGGAAATCACCATTCTCATCCTTACTCCATCTTCTGCTGCTCAGTCAATTTTCTAGATTTGTCTTCAATTTGTAGGCAGTGGCAGAGTTGCTGGTTCGATTTCAGGAGAGGAAGCAAGATTGTGCTCTAGTTTCAGGGACAGCAGCACAACATTAAATGATAATAAATGTCAAGCCAAGTTTAGATGAGCATATTAAGCCGTGACAAAATTAAGTTTGATATAGTTTTAAGCAGCGTTTCAATTGATGGCTTTGAGCTAACAATCTCGTACGTCGGAGAAATCTCTCCTGTTGGACTCCAATTACTGCTCCACATTGAACAGACCCTGAAGTAACCGGCAACTGAAGGAAACACACTGCAGCCTGATCATCTCTGCACAAATAATTTGAACCGCTGTTCCAAAGTGTATGATAGGAACGATGCTGGAATTAAAATGAGGATAAAACGGAGGAAGATGACTGGCAAGGTAAAGGTGTACAAGGGAGCAGTCATTAAGAAAGTGGACCAGTGTTAGATTGGAAGTGCTGAGGCCTTTGCTCGAGAGGTTTTGGCGTGAGGAGGCTGAGCAGGGGAACAGGTAAGAGCTGGGTCTGGCTGGGATGCTCTTTGGACGGTGAGTGCTGATTTGATGGGCCAAATTACCCCTTACTGCACTGTTGGGATTGGAATAACTGAAGCTTCACTATAGATCTTGGTTCATCACTGGCATTCTTGTCACAGGGCAAGATGCGTTATTTTACTACTCAATGTAAAATGCTCAATGTGTGGTACTACCTTCGAAATAAATTGTTTGAGCTTCAAAAAGGAGAAAAATTCTTAAAACTTTACGATCTTCAAAGCACTCATCAGCTACATGCCATAAACTAGCAGTTAGCACAAAATGGGATTCAGCGACAGATACTTGGATTTATTAATACATGCATTTAAAAAGGGTAGCAAACAGGTAACAATTAGCATCAATGCCTAACATCAATGACACAAAGAGGTAGGCTCAAAAAGCAACCTGTATAGTGGCAATAGTTTTAAAACAATCAACATGGATAGAAAAGTGAAATGTGAAGAGGACATAATAAGGATACAAAGAGATATAGATTGGTTAAAAGTGAATGGATAAAGATGTAGCCAATCAAATGGAGTATGGGAAATGTAAAACTGTTAATTTTGGCAGGAAGAATTTTTTAAAAAGCATAAAAGGTTAGAGATGCAGAGGAATCCAGGTCACCAAGTGAATGAATCACAAAGCTAATATGTGGCTGCATTAAATAATTAGGATAGCTCAAATGTTATTGCTCATTTGTGAGGAAAATTGAATCCAAACTTAGGGTGGTTATTGGTGGAAATTTGTGTTGTGACTGGATGTTGATTTAAATTAGTCCACCAGTACAGCTTAAAACCTTTACATAAATAATATTTTAGGACTTCAAAATTAAATGTTTTCACTTAATAGAGGAAGAGATTTTAGTTAAAAACCCAAAAGCATGCTGGAAATCAGAAACAAAATCAGAATTTGAAAACCTCAGCAGGTCTGGCAGTACCTGTAGAGAAAAAGCACAGTTAATGTTTAAGATCCAGTGATCCTTCCTCAGAACCATTTCAGCTACTTGGGGTTTGGGCTTGGGCTGGTGGGAAGAGAGGCGGAAAGAGAGGTGGAAAGAAGTGTGGAACTGCAACTGTGGTAGAGGATTTGTTAGTGAGGGGAGTGGAGTGGAGTGCTGATGAGATAAATGCATGTGATGTGCTCTGCATGGACTTTCACAAATTTTCTGATAATGTCCTTTTTGGGTCAAGAAAGTAACAGCCAACGGCAAAAATGGCACACTGAATCCAAACTAGCTGCAAGGCAGGAAGCAGAGGATGGTTTCTGAATCTGGAAGTCAATTTCCAGTGGGGTTCCGCAGGGCTCAGTGCTGGAGCCCTTGCTGTTTGTGGTGTATATTAATGATTTAAATATTAAATAAAGGGGGTATGATCCAGAAGCTTGCAATGACAAAAATTGTTAGAGCAGTAAATAGTAGATAGCTATAAACTGTAAGTGGAAGGTATCACAGAGTGGGCGGCTTGGCAGAACAGTGAAAAATGTAGGGTGCTGCAAAGTACTGAAGATCAGCGGGACCTTGGTGGGTGCATCCACAGATCAGTGAAGGACAGGCAGATAAGGTGGACAAGAAGGTAAATATAAGTTAGAGAACTGCGTGCCAATGAAGTTGATCCAAGTATGCTCCAACTGGAAACCTTGTTTCCAGGAAGATACACTCCCTACTGAAGGCCAGGTCTGAGGCATTCAAGTTGGGTGACCCTGGTCTATACAGTAAATCTAAATACAACCTTCGCAAAGCCAGTGACACCAAGAGACAATACTAGACTAACCACACGAA